TGGTTGTGGACATTTCTTCTGCAGGTAAGCTAAATGACAATGTATGCTTTAAGAATAGTATTGTGTAATTATAAAATATTGTGGGACTAATTTACCAAATTTGGTCAGACAGAAAGAATGGAAGATGTTTTATAATGTTTAACATTTCTTTCAAAACTATTAGCATATTTAATGGTTAGATGTTTAGTAAGCTCATTCAAATATTATTCAGCTCACCATTCTCTTTAATTTGTACTTTTTAAGACTTAACTCAGGGGTCTGTCCAGGCCAAATTTACTACCATTTAGCGGTACCTTCACAAATTCAACTTTAGGAAAATGTAAAATTTTCTTTTTGTATCCCGTCAGAAACGATAAATCCATATTTTTACCACATTTGTGTGTTAATTTTTTATTATAATTTTTAATTTTCATAAATTATGTCTACATTTTCGCAAAATAGGTACCTCACAGAAAACCTAGACTGACCTGTGTGACTATTGTTTAGAGCATATTATCTTATTTTACACTTTTTAATTCTTATCCATTTATATTTGTTTTTGAAAAGAAATTATTATTTTAGATTCTGCATCACGAAAACTCTTCAATCAGAGTATCAGAGACCCTGCCCCTTGTGCAAAAAACCTTTTACTCGAAGGTATGTTTTATTTATGATCTTACGTTAATTTAAATATGCTGTATAACTAATTTAAATATGCTGAAAAACTAAACCAGGAATGCATATTTTAAATTTGTCTTAATGAGCCAGTATTTTTGAAATATATATATATTATATGAATGATCAACCCTATAAATGTCTGTAAAAATTATAGGAGGATTTTTTTAATGAAAATAATTGACAATTACAGAAGATTGAACACAGCACATTATTTTATGATATTAATACTTTCTGTCACCCAAGGTCCATAGCCCTTGGCTGAAGGATTATAGTTAAACCAGTGAAACAACTGCCAGTGTATTAGCTTCTTTTTCTGTAAATTTTTTGTCACTATTTTCTGTATTTTCTACTCCATCATTTGATGTTTCGAGAATAACCTCTTCTACGTTAGCTGATTTATCAACTTCTTATCACTCATCATTCAACACGTTGGCTGTTCTCAGCTTCATTATCACTTACATCTCTGTATCCTACTTCAGTTATTTTTTCTACTTTATTTCTTTCTAACACCAAAGTAGGTAATGCCGATCTTTTATGTTTCCATTTGCGAATTGTGTTTTGGTCTGCTCGGAATCGTCTTTTGCAGGAGTAAAAAATTGTTTTAAGCAATTTTATACCTAAACTATAATTTACCATGAAGTTTTTAACCTAGTAATCTTTGTTTCTGTCGGTCAGAGGTCGACCAAAGCTGAGATGGGCCGACTGCGTGGAAAGAGACATTTCAGTCTTAAAAGTCTCAAACTGGAAGACAACTGCCAGGCAGAGGCAGGCCTGGAGGAAGTTGATTGAGAAGGCCAGGGCCCACCCGGGGCTGTCGTGCCATTGAGGAAGGAAGGAATCTTTGTTTCAGGGACTGCTTTGAACACCTGTCTCTGGTCTTTCCCTCTTCTTCTTCCATGTTAATCTGGCATGTTACTCGTAATTCTGAAATCAAAATAAACACTGAGGGGTTAGCAGTTATTCTTCAGCAAGTTAAAAAGTTTTAAAACTCAAGCGTGCTAAATAAAAGTTTCATTTCATCTGCTAGTGACTAGAGCGAATATCATTGTTAGGATTGGTATTGGACGCTTTGCGCAGATCGTTCAGAGAGCATAACATCTGACGGGTTAACAGTTAATCTTCAGCAAGTTAAAAAGTTTTAAAACTCAAGCATGCTAGATAAAAGTTTCATTTCATCTGCTAGTGACTCACTAGGGCAAATATCATTGTTAGGATTGGTATTGGATGCTTTGTGCAGATCGTTCAGAGAGCATTACACAAGTGCGATGGAGGTACTTTTATCTCACTTGTGTTTAGAATACTTATCGGATGAATCAATTGAATAGTAAGTTGCTTCTCCTTTTTGAATTTGATTGGTGCTTGCTTTATTATCAAGCATACCTAAACGTGTTTGATGTGCAGCCTTTGTAAGCTTCTGAGCACAATGAAAAAAAAATTTTTTTGAAGAATAGATAATCTCTTTCCATGGTAATTGCTTTGAAATCATGTATGATTTTTTAAAAAAAAAATCTTATATTTTTTAAATATGATATTGTGATATGCAAATTTCAAATTTGATTAATCACTTTTTGGCTCATTTTATATTTTCTGATTTTGTTGTAAATCCAATCATTTTAATTTTTTTGCCGTTACAACTACTGGTTTCCATATTGTTTTTAAAATCATGATACGTTTAATATGATATAACATTGTGTAATATGCTTGTAATTGTGAGTTATAAATTTCGTATTTGATTGTTCACTTTTTGATGTGCTTTACCCGGGGCTGATTTCATCGTAAATCTAAATTATTTTTATTTTTTTAAATGCCAGTTATTGGCTCTTTTTGATATAATTTTGTAAATTCTTTAATTTTTACTAAGAGATTATTTTGATACACGAGTTTCAAATATCACTTTCATAATGTCATACATATTAAATTTTTGAAAATGTTCATGAGTAAAAATATACAGCTTTATAACTAAAATGAAATCATTTTGTTTTAGAAGAATTCAAAAATCCATTCAAAGACAGAAGGTAATAAATGCTGCTAAAAAGTTTGCGGGAAAGCATTTGGAAGGAACTGTAAGAATTATTTCAATTTTGCTTATCGAGTTACATCTCACATTATTTTTTGACATTTTAAAATTTTTCTTGTTGTTCTCCACATGCCCTCTCTGTTGGGAAGGAAAAATGATAGCTGTGTGTTTTCTTATATGTACGCCTGTTGAATATTTCTTATTAGTTAAATGTAGAAGAGTAGTCTTTAAAATATTAATTAATTATTTTTTTTTACACAATGTACTTAAATAAATGATACAAAGCTGCTAAAAAATAAAGTGTACAATAATAAAGTGTACATATTTATCTAGACATAAGTGTATATATTTATTTAAGAAAATGTGAAATTATAAATTCAAATTCGAAATGGATTGTCCAGGGTTAGTAGTTATCCTGATATTCCTAGTTTAAACTATTCTGTCTTTATTTGTCCAGATATTCCTGAATTTTTTTTTTATTGTTCAAAGTTTACCATTTCGACAAACGCACAATTTTAAAAAAATCGAAAACATACCCAAATTAGTTATTCTTTTTCGTGAATTTTAAGATTCAGTTGATTTCATTATATCTTTCCTTATCCTGGGTTTTAATATTTATATTCACTTCTTTTAGCTATCGTTTACATTTGGCAATTTTTAAATGTTTTTATTTAATTTGAATAATAAGTTTTATTTGTATTTTATCATTTTCTTTTTATGCTTATAAATAGGTGTGAAATGTATTGTGCTTTTTAATTTTGTTTTATATGAAATCTGAGGATTTTAATAAATCTTTAATTTATTATAATTTTATTTTATTTAGTTTATTATACATTTATTTTATTTGGTTTATTATAATTTTGCTTAACTTTAATTAAATGAATAACTTCAATTAACTTGTATATTTGTTACAATAAACTTATGTATTTGTTAGTTTCTTTTCGTGTTGATTTGGTATTTATCATAATATTTTAAATTTTTTTAAAGTGACTTTTGAAATTTTACCATTGTAATTTATATTTTTCTTTCTATTTAGTCTTATTTTTAATTAATTTTTTTAAATATGAAAATCCCAACAAAACAGTTTAATTTCAATTCAATGCAGATTATTGTATACAGAATATTTGTATAACATTTTTATTAATTTATTTTTTTAATATTTTTTTTGGATTTATGATGATTTAGTTGTTAAAAAGTTGTTAATTTCTTTTATTTTTTCTTTTATTTTCCATTTTTTAGCAGCTTTGTTTGATATTTTAGGATAATTTACTTATTTTATAGCTAAGGATTAAAAGTATTATGTTTTTTATTATTTAATTTATGTTTTTCTGTTAATTAAATGCATTATTTTTTAGTTATTTATTTGATTTGGTTTAACTTAATATGGATTAACTTTAATTCGATATGAATTGTTTATATATTCGTTAGTCTCTTTTTAGGATGGTTAGATGTTTGGTGTTAAAAATATGCTTTTCTTAAAAAAAATAAATTATGTTCTTTTCAAATAAGTATTGCGCAATTAAGTTTTAAGATTTTATTGGTGCTTATCTTTCCTGTAATTATAATTTTAATATGTATTGGGTTTTGGTTTATTGCATTTATTTTTTTCAAAACGGTTCATATGTTGACTAAATACGATTAAACTACGATTCTGCACAAATTATTTATATATTTTCATTATTTTTTTGGAATAACTTCGTACTTATAAAATGAATTACCTTTTTTTTAAAAAATAAATATATGGCTCAGTGAATTCCCTTATTCCCTTTCAATTACATTTTTAGTTCTGACAATTTGTTATTTCTAATCAAAGCAAACATAATTTAAATCACCTGATTTGTTTTTAAATAAAAATAATTTATAAATGTTTTCTCAGAGTTGCAATTTTATTTATAATTCTAATTTACGCTTTTATTAAATATTAACATATAGAATTTAAAGTAAATCCACCTGGAAAACCTAGAAAAGTGAAGGAAAAACTTTATTTTATTTTTTTAGTACAAATCCTGTTTAGGTTAAAGATTTTTAAAAAGATAAATCAAGTAATTAAAATTGTAATTTTAATTGCTGATTTTAAGCTTTTGATTTAATAATTGTTTTCCTGATATAGATGAGTTAAAAACATTTACGCCTAAATTATTTCTCACTATTTTCTATTATTTCACATGTAGCTTTTCCTAAAGAAAATACTCAAAGAGAAAGTCAGAAGAAGTCATCAGAGTTAGGAGAAAGTGTTATTGGTCCAGAACTACACATAGTATTAGAGGTATGCAAATTTTACACATTTCCATTTCCTAATTAATAAAAAATAAATGTGTATTGTTTGGAATATTTTATAATTAATACATTTTGTAAGTTCTTTATTTTGAATTAAAAATTCTTATCTTTTTTAAATAGTCTGTAGAACTTTTTAAATTTTGTAACATGCCTTTGAAGTGATAATAACTAGCATCTTGCTTCCTTGTTTGATATTTCGGCTAATTAGCTTTAAGATATTATATTTAGGGATGTTTTTTTATTTTCTTTTTGTGTCACTTAAAATTGTAAATTTTTTTAACACTGGTTGTTTTTTTTTAAAAATTTAACCTTAAATCACCATTGTTGTATTAATTTACCAATTAATACAACAATGCAATTTAATCTTAATATGCGAACAATAACTACCATTTCATCAATATCAGCATACAATGTACTGATTATCTTTACCATTTAAATTATGTATTTGTAATTTTTATGGGTTCAGGGTTCACACACCTGCACTGATCTTAACCAAATAAAAAAAAAAGTTGGTACAAATGTGTTGTTTTGGCAATTTTTACTCTAAAATGCAAATTTGATTACTTTTTTTTTCATTTTGTGCACAAACTTTTGAAAAATTAGTGCTGCTTTTATTTTTATGAGATAGTTAAATTTTTCTTCTCCATACATATGCCCAATTTCACTACGTTTGCGATCAAGACTGTTGCTCTACGTACTTCTGCAAATCAATTATATTTCTGGGAGTAGGGGAGAGTGGCTCACCTTGGGGCACTTTTTTATTTTAATTTTTTTTATTTTGATCAATTATTATCAAAATTATACCTGGTACTTTTGTAACATTTGAAAACATTTTTAACTAGGTTTTGATTTTGTATCTGTCATAGAAAAAATTTAAAAACATGTTTAGTTACAGTTTTATTTGTCCCAAAGTGTACCTCCTAGTGGGGCACCTTGGGACAGTTAAAAAGATATGAAAAGTTTAGTAGAAACTCTCTAAAAATAGTATAACTAAATAAATTTACTTTTTTTAATTTTGTTAATAAAGTTTTGTTTTGTTAGTTTCAACCTCTTGTATGCAAATCCAATTGTTCAGAAGCAAATACCAAACCTAAAGAATGTTCAAAGCTTTGCTCTGCTTAAGTTTTAACAAAATGTCATTTGAATATATGTACGATTTGTCTTCTTCTTCGGGATAAATAAATGTTGCAGATTGATTCACTCTTCTCAAAACTGATAACTCATCTCCATCAATTCTTTAAACGCAGCCGACAAAGGCAACAACAGATCTTTTACCAGCAAATTTGATGTGAGCAAAATCTCCAATATGTAATCTTGTTTCACTACTAAACGTGAAACAAGATTAATTGTTCTTAATCTTGTCTATAAATTCATTGCACTTAATTTAATTATTAAGCTCAAATTTGTGGAATTAAAATTTCAGCAATAATGCCTTAATCTTAGTGATAAAATTTGCATACTTTTTCTATTGTTATTTGATATAATCAATACTAAATAATGAATTATTTGAAACAATTTATTATATTTACTTTTAAAATTAGTATATTTAAATAGTGTAATTAATAAGTTAGTATATAGTAAATTTTATGGTATTAATTAATTTAATTTTATTAATACATATTTTAGTTTACAATTATTATGTGTTAAACAAATAAATTAATATACTACTGTATTAGTATAATAATTAATATATTACTTTTAAAATTATTAGTTAATTAATGCAATTTTTACTTCAGAGAAATGTTTTTTTCTGGAAGAAAGCAAGATAAAATAATTAGTATATTGCTTTTGTTTGTTTTATCTTGTAAAATTGTTGTGTTTCATGGTTTTTTTAAAAAAAAAATGAAGAAAAAAAGTTTTTTATTTTAGATAGGTGTTCTTCTTACCCAATACAATTTGATACAAAACCTAGATTTTCCTTTTACAAAAATTGATACAATTTTTTGGAAGTGAGTAAGATCCCCATATTCTATTTAGATTCAAGTCACACTACAATAATTTATGTTGGGTGAAATATATTTAAAGCCTTGTCCACTTTAGTAATTTTAAAACAACCAGTATTTTTATTATAGTAATAGACAATGGCCTAGTGCAACAGTATAGCAATTTATTTTGCGTGTATAATCTACCCAAACAGTCTCGTACAATAAAAATATTGCTACGTATAAATTATGGAATGGACTAACTTCATGTAGGTCTTAGGTAAACAATAGAACACTCACTACACTTTAAATGATGTCTTAAAAATAGAAATTTGTAATTTTCATTTAAGAAATTAAAATGCTGTTTTTTTTTGTTTTATATATATTTTTTTAGTGGAAATAAATAAACCTAGCTTGCTAAATTCTCCTACGAATGCACTAAATAAATAGATTTTTCCTAGAAAAGTCTTATTGATTTACAAACTGATTGTAACATTGAAAATTCTTGAAATATTTTAAATTTGATATAATATTTTGAAAGTTATAGCTATCAAACTTTTTTCGCTATGTTGCTTTTTCAAATTTGTATGATCAAGGATATTCATATTAAGTACAGAGTGAACGAGCAAGTGATTATCCCAGACATGCTACATTTGCAATTGGCCCTCTAGCGATAAAGAGGCATCATTGAAATAATGTAGCAAAGCAGTTGGGTTTTACAAATGTTTAAGTTTTGATGTTTAAGTAAAATTTTTAAATTATTTTTTTCCTATATCTGACATCTACTATCTTAAGTAAAAAATTTGTTTTCTATTTATTATTGCTACTGTTTTGCTGTGAAAATTATTTTAGATTTTTCTAATATTATAATTGTATATTTTTTCTTCCTTGTAGGATATTATGAAATCAAAGAAAAGAAAATCGGAGGAAATTATGTTGAATGGTAAGTGAATTTGTCTTTTGGGAGGCACAGAATTTTTTCCACAGACTTTGGGTTGTAGAAGACCTTTAACCTTCTGTTAGATGCGCACTTGTTTCCGACATGGTTAGTCGCGTTGCACCTATGAGGTGTTTCTGATTTTTTGAAAGCTGAGTGAAATTTATTCTGGTTTAAATAGTTTATTGTTACTTATTTAAGATTCTTTAGCGAGATAAAGTATCAAAAAACTTATTTAATTGGTAAAATTTATTAAAACACAGTATCAGAAATAATTGCTCAGCATAAAGAAAAACAAAGGAAAGTAAAATTATAAAAAAACACTAAGAGTTTTGTATATAGGAACAACTTATTTCAATATCACATGTTGGTATGAAAATATTATTTTAGAGGCTGTCTGACGCAGAACTATCTTCATCTGAACAAGACTTTTTGCAAGACTGTCATTCCTTACAAATTGTTGTTACATTACCCAAACATATGTATTTTCCGCAAGTAGCACAAGTATACTTTGTATTTTTTCATTGGTTATTTTTTTGACATGGCTCGCTCTATTTTGTTTTCTTGGCTTGATTTTCACACAGTGAATTTTCTGCGGCTTGAGAAGTTTGTTCTGTGATATCTGCCAATCGAAAGCAAAGTACTGAAAGTACATTTTTCTTGTTCCTGTGTTGGATCATTTCATCCATCACAAGATGTTTATCCAATTGGCACAAGAAGGTTCTGCGGTTTTTCACTTCGTAACCATTTCCCGTATTTATAATTTGAGCATTTATACCTGCTGCATTGAGTAGGGCAGAAAATAAGATAAAATATATATATTTAATTCATAAAATTATTTTATCCATAATACTTACGTCAATGGTCACGCTGCACCTGTGGGGTGCAGCATGACCATTGACGTAATAAGTTTAGGCCTGAACAATGCATCCAGTTTATTTCAATCAAAGAACTTTTCACAAATTATAAAATTTTGTTTTGATATTTTTTATTTTAGATATTTTGGATTTGGTTTGCTATTTTATATTTTATTCTTTTCAACAGCAAAAGGAGATATGAACATTTTCATTATTAATTTTTATAAAGTTATTAATTATTATTATTCAAAATTATGCAGAAATATTTAGTTACTTTTATATAAATGTTATTGTTGTAATACTTTATTTATAAATAGATAATATTGGACAATATACTATATTTAATTAATTTTAATTGTAATCGAGTGCATGGGGAAGTTCTGTCTGACCAATAGACTAGCATATTGGTCAGAGCTTTCTTCAGAGGAGGGGGGATATTATGTAATGTTAAAAAAATTATATATTAAATATAATCCATAAATAAGGCTTATATCTAACACGCAATCATTTAAAACCTTTCCCACAAAGAAGGTAATAATATTGATCTAATTATCACAGAAAATGTGATGTGTATTAAGTAGCTTGGGCAATTGATCAGTCATACGTTAATAAGACCTATTAATATTTAAATATATTGTCCAGAAAGATATAAAAACCCTCATTCCAAGGTCAATTGACTCTTCTCTATCTATTCATTAGCATGTAATTTTCTCATTTGTGCGCCTCCCGCAATTTCTTTAATAAAATTATACGATTCCTGAATTTTCCTGTATCTTTTTCAATAAATACCGGCCACACTATTAATTTACAATGTTATTGCTTTCAAAGAGTAACACGCACGCACACTCACACATATATATTATAAATTTTTATTTGTTTATACAATTTATTTATTTTCAAAATTCGTTCCAGAGGAACCAGGTGAATCTGAAAATGGGATTCCTTTAAAGAAGTATGATTTTCTGAGTTTTTAATAATTTGTTATATTTTGTTTAATATTTTGATAATTCAGCAGATGATTTTATGTATTCAATCTCATACATCTTAATAAGCCATACATATCAATAAAATTTAAAGCTTTCAGCAGCTTCAGGAACAGGCAAGAAATTATGAAGTAGTAAATCCAAAATTGACTGAAAAAATGGAAATATTTTGTGAAAACGATGAATTAAGCAAGGAAAATGAAAAAGACTTTGAAACCTCGTCTAATAAATGTAAACCCAATTTCAGGAAAAAACCTCATAAATCTGGTTTGTGTGTATCAAATTCTTCCGCTGAAGAAGATTTGATTTCAGAGATTAAAGAAGCAGAAAATCATACATTAGTTATCGAATTGAACAAGGATAATTATGTTGATGAAAATTTATCTCAGGAATGTCAAGAATTAGCAGAAATTGAAATTCCAAGTAGAGTAACTATGCAACCGCAAGAACCATATATAGATGCCCATCCAAAGAACTCTAAAATTGATGATATTTCTGATACTGTAGTATCTGTTCACTCATTTGCAAGTCCGCAAATGAATAAGGGCAATGTAGCATCAAAATCTCCTGGGTGGTCCAGAGTTAAAAAAGTAGGAAAAGATTTTAAAGTTAAAAAGTTTTCTAGACTGTCTGTGCAAAGAAACAGCTCTGCATGCCCAGTTAATGAAATCAGTAATGGTGATGAAAAATCACGTGAAACTTTGGATAAGCAGCCTGAGTGCAATGAAATATCTGAAACTGTCCCAACAGCAGAAGATATGAGTCAAAGATCATCCCCATCAAGAGTAATGTCAGATTTAAATAAAAACAGAGTTCTTGATAATGAAATCTTTGTTGATTATGAAATCCAAAGTCTTAGAGATATGAGAAAAAGTATGGATGAGGACGAACCTATGTTAGAGGTGCCTGATACAAATGAGAAGAATGCCTTTAAAGATGATGTCAATCAAATGAGCCGCGAGAAGCTTATTTTGAACGTGGAAGGAAATAAAAACACTTCAGAAGCTCAACCAAATAAGTTTGTTGATAGTTGTAAATCAGTTGATTGTATATTGCAAGCTGCGGATGATGACATTCCTTCCAATGAACGGGTGAGAGATGAGATGAATCAAGGAATAAATTTGCAAAAGAAAACTGATTTGATTGAAGAACCAATGGATACTGGTTTTCAGGTTCCAGATAAGGATATTTTAGAAGCAAATTTATATCATCCGCGTTCTTTGCCTATCTGTTTAGAAACAGCTAGAGAGAGAAGTTCCATTTCTGGGAATAACCTAGCCAACACAGAATTAAATTGTGAAAGGAGTGATAATATTTGTAAAACTCCAATTAGAGGATTCATAAAGGAAAGCAGAGTATCAAAAATAGGAAAATTTTCTAAAGGCAATTCTTCACCGGAATCAGATGTTTTTTATGTTGAGCATTCTCAACAAACATCGCAAAGAATAGATTTTTATGATGCAAAGAACCGTAATGAATCACTTGTGCCAGCATTACCAGTTCAAGTTCCTTGCTGTCGCACTGAAACATTTACTTCAAATGCAATATTTCCTCATCCTAAATCTATCTCATGGTTTTGCAGCAAAGAAAATGCCACTTCTGAAAAAACTAAAGTTGTGAAGAGAACTTGTTTGACATTAGAAGAAATTCAAGACTATTTTACAAAGAGTACTATTTCTGGAAAGTCCGAGACAGTTTGTTCTCTCCCATTTTTATCAGACAGTTATAAACTTCACATTTGTGTTGCTGATGACACTCTTAATGTATCTGTATTGAAAGTTGTTGATTCTAATACATCTGAAATGCATTGTACTAATTTGATTAATATCCCTGAAATGAGTGACTTGCACCGAAAAACTAATCCTGCTTTAATGTCAAAAGAATCTTTTGAAACTTTGACTGATAAGTTTCAGAATTATTCACCAGCTGTTTTACCATCCTCGAATGTGGAATCTGATTGCTCAGAGGCTGATGATAATTCTGAGGCTGCTAAACGTAAGTCCAATCCATTTCCATTTCTAAGTAAGTTTTTTTCTGACTCTGAATCTACTCCTCAACTGAATGAAGCTACTGATTCATGTAATCTAAATTGTGTTCCTGATACATATAATGTGAAAGATATTCGTAGTATGTCTGTTGTGAAAGATCTGGAAGAACCTAAAGTGAAACATGTGTCGATTGTAAAAGATGTTTCAGATTTTTCTAATGTAACTACTAAGGACAACACAGAGATTATTCTTCCACCATCAAGAAAAACATCTTATAAGTTCCCTGTCCAGATTGAAGAGACTCCCGTTAATATGGAAACAAATAGTAAAAAATCTTTTGACTCAGATTCAAACTATTTGAAAGATTCTGTTAATATCCTAATCAATTCTAAAGCAAGCTCAGAAAAAAATCAAAATTCTATTAGTGTATCTGAAAAAAAAGTGGAAATTATCGATACTTCTCAAGATTCAATGGATCAAGATGAAGATTGTTCCATTTTGAAAAATACTCTTCCTATTGGTGCAACAACAGTGTATCAACATAAAGTACTTAACTCTGACTCTTCCGAAGAATTATACAAGAAAGCATTACGTGATGATGATGTTGATTTCTTGAGTGAATTGTCAGATTTAAATCCCGGTCAAACTGCATCTCATTATGCTAGCTTGATGAAAGAGTATGATGCTCTTTCTTCTGATCCTGTTATGGCTTTTGCTGATGATCTAGTCGCACCACTTAGGAATATTGCTGATAAACTAAATCCTGTGTCTCATGAAAGCAATAAAAAACAGAATAAATTAACTGCTGATCCAAATGAACTGAACCAGATTGACGGAACTACATCTCCGCTGGACCGTGTCCTGAATTTGCTTCCTAACAAGAAAAGTTTATTTTCGAACACAAATACAAAGAAAAAAGTATCAAGATTGTCTCTAAAGAAAAAGAAGAGTTCTAAATTTAAACGAATACAAAATGATCCAGATTCTTCTGATTCTGACGAGCCTGAATCATCTGAAGTTGATGAAGTAGCTATTTTAAAGTCTTCAAAACCAACCAGTCCTAAATGCAAAAGTATGTGAAGGCTTATGTTGTTTCATTTAATTATCCACTTCTTTAAGTTGGTTAACTCTAATGACAGCTATAATTTTTGATAATCACTTTAGTATTGTATTAAAAAAATTCTTTTTTTTTTTAATGACTTAAAATGTTTAGAAGAATTAAATTTTCTTAAGTTGTCTTGTTAGCTTAAAAGGTTTTATTGCCTGAACTTAAACTAAAATTAACATAAATTGTCTGTTAATGTAGCTTTAAACAGCTGTGAGACAAGTAAAATATTGTCATTGTAGAGAAAAAATGATTTTGATCTACTGGAAAAATGTATAAAGTTGGATTTTTTTTAAAAATTATAACTTAAAATCCAGATATTACTATAGAACATAGTTGGTATGAATAATTTTCAAGGACCTGCAGAAAATGACATGGGAAAACAGAATAATGTACAAAATGGAAAACTTAAACATTTTACTGTATTTTGGTTAATTTAAATTAAAGGCTTAAAATGTTTTTACACATTGTATTTTTTTAAAAAAGAAAACTGAATCTGGTTTAAACCGTCAAACTGATTTTTTTGTGGGAAAAAAGCCTTTTTTTTCCTAATCCTGGATTTTACTCATGTAGAAAATGTTGACTTTGTCATCAATGAGTTAATCAAATAAATAGTTCCTTCTAGTTATTCACACTAAGATTAAGTATGTGACTCTTTTCCTCTTTAATTAATATTAATGCAAGTTAATATATAAATTAACTACAAACTTTCTGTTTCAAATTGCTCAACTTTAAAAATAATTTTTTTGTGTCCAAAAATAATAAATATGATGTAAATAATTTTTTAAAAAAAAATCTTTTGATGTCATTAAAGAGTAAAATTATTAATTCATTACAGATGTTTCAGCTGCATCTTGTAATGAGCAAAGCACTCTTGATGGCTCTCTTTCAGAGGATGATGTAAGTATTTAGTATCATTTTCAATTTCATTGATTTGTTTGTAGAATAGGTAATACTCATTGAATAAAGTTAATTTCTGTGTATGCATTTTATGTTAAACATTTGAGTGTTTTATAATTGTTTTGTAGATTTTTAAATATTGTGTTTTTTTTATCATTATTGCATTATTTGTTTTAAATCAACAATTTTATTAAACAAATAACGAAACAATTTAGCATGCTAAAATAAACAAACAAAATTGATTTTGTTTCTTATAAAGAATATGTGATAATAAAGTTTAAATATTTTTAAAAAGTATGTAATAATAAAGTTTAATTTATTTTAATTTTTACTGTGACACTTTTTATATATCTATTTGGAAAAATTATTTTTTCTGGATGACCATATTATACCCATCTAGGGGAGCAGAATGTGTCTGATTGCGGAAACAAGGTTTGGGGAAAATTCCGAAAAGCTTAGTAAAATTTTTAGTCCAATAAAAAAAAAAACTTGTTGTGAAAATTTAGCTTTCCTAAATTCCCCCCTGTAAAAACGCATATGTCAATTTGTTTATTTATAAGTTTAAATTCCTAATTTTATGAATGGTAATTTAATGAGTGAGAATTTAATTCATAAATTATTACTAATATTAATATTTCAAAGTATTTTGAGTTTGCTTCCTTTTTCCTAGTTTACTTAACATGCTAGTTTATTCCTGAGTCATGTAAAATGATATAAACAGAGGTGACAAAATCCGGACTTCCGGACATTTCTCGAACTGCGCTTTGGAAGTTTCCGGAAATCTTAGGTCCAGAAGTTTTAAGAAATCATCGATCACATTTATGTATAAAAATTTTTAAATATTTTATTTAAAAATATTAGAACTAGACCATGGCACAGAATAGATCAAGATGGCAAAAACTATTGGGACGGCCTTGGCCTGTCATGAGCTGTAGTGCCCAAGAAGAAGAACTAGAATTTATACTTGGCATCTATCATTTGTAAATATTTTTTCTGGTAGAATAATAAATGTGATGAGAGATAAAAATAAATTTACATGTAATTATTCATTTAAATTATACTGTATATAATTTATTTAAAGTTCAATGTTTTGAAAATATCAATGATTTAAATTTATAAAGACATTATGCATCTTTAATGATTTTACTCAAGAAATTTTCCGGATTTTTGAGTTAGACTCACAATCACACCTGTATAAACTTTTTTTCTTTATTAAAAAAAATATCGAAATAATTATTTTTTTTACAGCGTATAAATTATACTTTCTAAAAATATTTTGAAAAAGTTAATTGTAGCTAAAAAAAGTGCTATAATTTTGGAGTAAATGTTATCAGAATGGTAACATGTGGGGTAATATAAAGGCTCTGACAATTTTGTGAATCCCTGTTCCTATTGTGAAAACAAGCTAATATTGCCATAAATTGATTTATTAAAATTTTGGATGTTTTCTATAGTTTATTTAGCCCTATTTATGTTTTTGTAGAATCCTAGTCAAATTGTGAAAGAAATTGAAGACATTGATCAAGCCATACGATTAGTCGAAGAAAAACTTAAGATGTGTGGTAAGTACAACTTTCTGAATTAAGCTTTCATAATTTTAAAGTAACTAATATTCAATGGTTTTAAAGGTTTTTGTTCATTTGGTTTTTAAGTAACTAATGTTCACTCTTTACTTAGTAATTTTAAATACCAAGAAATTTTGAATCTATTATGTAAAAATGTGTTAGGATAAATCAACCAATCTAAGTTTTTTTTTTCCTAGTCTAGATCTATTATTATAGTTGTAGACACATTCACTGTTAATTTTTCCAATATTTAATAATAATCGTCAATTCTGTATTATCTTGATTGTCTTCAAATCAAATTGAATTTATTTTGGTGCAAACGTTGGACGGGAGATATAACTGTGTCATTTATTTTAAATTTAATGATTCAACATTTGTCATGTAATCTAATACAGCATGAAGTCCCATTTACTGGTACTGAGAAAGGTCTATTTTCCAGACACTTTTTTACAATCAAAATAAACAAATATCTTTTTTTTTCAAGAATAATAATAGTTCTTTTCTTTTGCGATTTTTTAAAAATAATTTTTCTCCTTATTGGTGCTTTTTTTAAAACCTAAATAAATATTTATTTTCCTTCAATAAGAACACTAAAAAGAGTAGTTGGAAGGATGAGAGCAATTAACGAAAAATGGACAGGGATGAGAAGTATAAACTGTGAATATTGATGAAGCTGATTATTAAGAAAACCCCGGCATGCAAGTTTTGTTTTCCTTTAAATTATGAATATTTTTATTAACAAAATCTCAATTTTGTACCTTATTATGTTTTCCTTTTTTTTTTTAGTTAAAAAAATTTAATTTGAAATATGAAGCTTTCTTTTAATGATATTTTTATCTGATTATCTGTCCAGTTAATTTTCTAATCAAATGAAAAAAAAACAACAACTTTAGGTTTGTTAATTTAAATACCTATTATTCGGAAAGATCTATTTTCTGGATTTGCCAAAGTCCCGATGATTCTAGATAAGGGACTGCTAAATTTTTAAAAAAGTAAAAAAAATAAAATATTAATATGACAAATGAAATTTCAACGTTTATAATTCTCTGATGATATATTATTTATTAAAAAAAACTTGCTTTCAGTTATGATTTTTATAACTCAACAATGAAAAGGAATTGCTTGAAACGACTCAATTAATGTAAGCTACAAAATCAGTCTCACTGTTTCACAATTTAAGTTGAAAAGTTAGGAATATTAAAAATTTGCATTCCTATGGTAGGAAAGGAGAGTGATTTGTTGCATAAGAAACTATCAAAACAGGATTATTTTTCTTTGAACTTGGATATGTTTTTCCTCATATTTATATCTCTTTTTCTTTCATTGCACATTCCCCCCCCCCAACAAAATGCTGAAGAAGGATGATCTTCCTGCTCTGTGTATAAAATTTAAAGTCTGTAGGTGTACTTTAAATGTCAAGCAAACCAAAGTTCTGACTTGGATTCTGTTTTTTTTATTATTAAATTATTATTTTTTTTTCCAATTTGATAAGTTGGTTGAGTGGTTAATAATTTGGCTTTAGCTTTTATTTTGATTTGTAGCTTTTTGGCCTGATTTTCCTAATTTTTGTGTGTTTTCAGAACATCATATTTTGTAAGAATACAAATGCTGTTTTTTAAAAAAATACATTTGACGGATCAACAAATTTTGTTTTTGATCCAGCATCGTTTTATTTTAATGAATGATGACTCTCATAACTATCTTAAAAATAATTTTCTTTTTCTTCGCGTAATTGAATATTTAGCTAGATTAGCCCATAACTGAATATTTTATGCATGTTTAGCAGCAAAATATAAACTTGTTCTAATATTTTTTTCAATCTTTTCCCCAAATTTCTTTGTTTCCTTTTTTTTCTTTTCTGAAATAGAAGAAAAAAAATTAAAAATTTTTTAATTTCTGCACTTTAACAGAGGGAAAAAATTCTAAAATTTATTCTAACTATTACTGTGCTGCTTTTGGTTACTTTTAAAATTACCGTTTGGTGTGTCTCATTTTATCGTTTTAATTCAGGTCATGGTAATTTATTGTCTGAAGAAAATAAAATCTTATTGAAAGATATACATCAAAAAGAATATAGCAACCATGAAGACAGTGATGATAGTGATGATATTTTTTCTCAATCAATTCCTCCAACACCACCGGAAACAATTGGCAACAGTAAAGTATCTACGTTAAAGAAGCCAAGAGTGAATTATTAATTTTCATTAAATCAGTCGGTCTTTGATATTATATGTTATGAATGAAGGAAACATATTATTGCTGTTAATTTTCATTTTGAATATATTGTTTTGAAGTCACATCCTTGAACCAATAAGATTGTGTCCTTAAACATTCGATCAAAAATTATTTAGATTAAGTCTTAAAACGTGACATCATTAGATCAAAAATTATTTAAAGTGGCCAGTTTATTTATTTATTTCTTTTTTGCACACTGTGCATCATATAATTATGTTGCTCTGATTTATAAAGCCATATTTATATTTTGTTTTTGTATACAAGGTCTTATTCGTTTTACTTTACTTATGTATCATTTCATGAATATGTATGTTCTGTAAAACAGTTTAATTTTCTATAAAAGAAAAAAAACTTTTAAAGTATTTTTATAAATATATTATGATTCATGGAATTATGTATAGAATTTTAGTGTATTCTACTAGAAATGTTTAATACTTACTGGATTGGAACCAAAATTTTCATAATTAACCTAACCCCTTATACTGAATCGTTTACTACTCTCATTTTGCACCTCTTTTCAAATCAAGTAAAAGGCTCTTGACTTAAAAGCTATGATAGTATTCTATTGTTTATGTTAACAGATGTGTATGTTTAATGTATAAATTTATGTCATGTATCATAAATGTTATATATGTGATGTATCAAAAATTTTATCAGGGTGCGTAGCGTTTGTAAAAAGTGCTTAAAGGTGCTTTTTTGGGGATTTCGTTTTTAAAAGCTTTTAAAGGTGCTTTTTTCAGTAGGCATTTTTAAAAAGTGCTTTCTTTTCCGAATCATTTTTTTTCTTCCCTTCAGTGATATGTGGTGGATCCCATGCATTTCACGAAAATGGGGAGTTGCCTACGTAATCATTCACGCGGACTTCATGTCGTACCCACGTTATGACTTGCGCATGCGCGCACACTTAGACGACACTTGCGAAACCCGAGTGCTCCAATTCCGATAGAGAATATCAGATCCTTATGAAATGTTTTTCTTTTTAATTTATTTTAATTTTATTCTTGTTTATTTTATTTTATTTTACTTCTAACACTTTTTTTGACGTAGGGTGACATAAGATATCAATGTTATTATGTAATTCTGGGAAGTTTGGAGTGAAAATGTGTTTTAGTTATTTTGTTATTTATTATTAAAAAAGGTGACATGGTTGCTAGATTTTGAATAACTCGCTTTTTTGGCAGTCTTGATTTGGCCTCTTTCCATTTGTTTATTACTGTTTGTTCGTGTTGCAAGCTGTGCACCATCTTACGTTAGTGTTAACACCTTTAGTATTGTAAACACAAGTATTGTTAGCATTGTAAACATAAGTAATCA